TCGGATGTGTCGCGTGGACGAGTGCAAAAGCCTGCAGCACGGGGCAGTGCGGCACGTCCGCGCCGCGCACGTTGAGCAGCCAGCACACCTCGTCCAGCGAGCCGAGCACAAGCGCGTCCGCCTTGGCCTTGTCCAGGTCCTCGCCTGCCGCGGCGAGCTTCTCCTCGGCCGACGCGCCTGCCACGGAGAGCGGCAGCAGCCGGGCCTTGCCGAGCGGAGGCGGCGGCCTGCCCGTCCAGATGGAGTCGACGAGGTTGGGAGGCGAGAGCGGCTCTAGCCGGAGTCCGCTCTGCGCCGCGTCGAGCGCGGATCGCAGCGTGTTGGCCTCGTCAACGCTGTGAACCGACGCGTCGATGCCGACTGCGGACGCGTCCGGGAGGTTGGAGGCGAGCCACGACTCGAGCGAGGGCACGCCGGGCTGGCCCGCGCGCATGAGCGTCCACTCGGGCGAGAGTTCCTGCTCGGCCTGCAGAAAGTACCGCCCGTCCGTCCACAGCAACGCCGCGTCTGCGGTGACGACCGCCGTGCCAGCGGAGCCGGTGAAGCCAGAGAGGAAGGCGCGGCGGTCGTAGGCGGGGTGGGTGTACTCGGACAGGTGGGCGTCGCCCGACGGCACGACAAAGGCTGCGACGCCAGCATCGGCCATCGCCTTGCGGAACGAGCGGAGCTTCACATCTGCGGCGTCCGCCGCCGACGCGACGGCCCGCCCGCCACGCAGAATCAACGGCCCGGGACGCAACGGCGTGATCACGCGGGCAAAGGCGCAGGCGCCGAGGGTCGAGAGCCGCACGAGCTGGGAGGCGGGGGAGAGAGGCATGGCGGGAGCGGATCCCAAGCGAAGATGCTGCGAAAGACCTGCTCTCTCTCTCTCTCTCTCTCTCTCTCTCTCTCTCTCTCTCTCTCTCTCTCTCTCTCTCTCTCTCTCTCTCTCTCTCTCTCTCTCTCTCTCTCTCTCTCTCTCTCTCTCTTCTCTCTCTCTCCAGTCTCCACCCTTGTTGTTTGGAGAGAGAGAGAGAGAGAGAGATTTTTATTAACCAACAACTTGTTGTTTGATCAGATGTACCTGTTCGAAACCTTCGGCGGGTGGTGCAACGCGGTCAAACGGCTGTTCTACCAGATGAAGGACAAGGTGCGCAACAAGCTCTCGAAGCGGCAGCACGAGGACGAGGCGACCTGGTCGACGCGGTCGTGGCACGTGGCTGTCGCTGCAGGCCCAGCGCATGTCAGTCGCGCTGCAGCTCGCGGCGGCGGAAGAGATTGCGACCGAGCTCAGGCTCGCCGCGGCGTCGGAGGACGCCGCCGTCGCCTAGACTCCCCTGCGTCACTACGTGCCTCCCCGTCTTTGTAGCCTGGCTGGCGTTTGTGCCCCGTTTGTGCCGCGTCCCGTGCCCCCGAGTTCAATTTACATCTTTGTCACGTACGTAGTCCCCACAATAGCGTGGGATCGCTTGTCATGTGATAGAGCGCGTTGTGTTCTTGTTTCGTATCCGCTTTCTCTCTTAGGTTAGGTAGGAAGGCGGGCGGACCCTCACAGATCACAGGTAGGAAAGAAATGGTTTTCTAAAATCTCTCTCTCAGGTAGGAAGGTGAAGAACAGCCAGGCTCGGACTGGACACCAACGCGGTGGACGCGCGCAGGTAGGTAGGTAGAAAGGTGAAGAACAGCCAGGCTCGGACTGGACACCAACGCGGTATGGGTGGACGCTGGACAGATGATGACGACACGCACGAGCGACACACAGACACAAACAGGCTCACAAGACACACAGCTATCTGGCTGCCACACACCCTGAGTCGGCGTACACATAACTCAGGGCCACATCCTCCCTGTCGCCCCCCCCAGCGCGCGCACGAGCGCCACACAGAAAAAAAACTGACCCTGAACAGCCGCTCCCAACGCCACACGGCCATGGTCGTGCTCCAAGTCAAGCGCAGCGAGAAGGACACCTTCCTCTACGAGACGGTCTGCTCCGCGGAGGTCGACGTCGTGTTGCGCGACCTCATCGCAATCCACAACCTCCGTCAGCGGGTGCTCCGGCTGGCTGAGGCCGCCTCGGCGCTCGCAGCGCACGGGCCGTCAAAGCCGCCAGAGCAGCAGGGCCTCGACGACTCGACGCCGTTGCTCGAGGACTACGACGTGGCCAGCGGCGCCACCGCACCGCGTCCACCACCAGCGCGCAACGAGCACTACTGTCCAGACCCGACGGAGCGGCGGACGGGCAACGCGCCGCCGCCAGAGATTGCGCAGGTGCTGACGCGAACAGTTGATGACGCGCAGGCGCTGCTGTCGGAGCGGCAGGTGGCGATGAAGGTGCGGCGGAGGGCACACCCCTGCAGACGGCCGCCGGCTGGTCGGGACGCGCGCACGCCGCTTCTCCATAGGTGCCGGCGACGGCAGCGGCGCTCGAGGAGGCGGTGCAAAACATCAAGGGAGCTGTGATGATCGCGTGGCCGATGGGGCTCCCCGACTACGACCCGGTGCGGCAGATCCTCGAGGACCGCGACGCGCTCGAGGGCGCCGCCCAGCTGCAGCACCTCGACGCCGACGCCACCTGCCTGTGGTGCTGCAGCAAGGAGATGCAACGCGAGAAGCTGCTCTCCGACTACGTCGGCCGGAACGAGAAGACGAAGGTGGTGGCCAAGCTGCAGAAGAAGGGGGCGGGCGCGCCGCAGCGCGAGCCCGCCGTCTCGGAGGCGGAGCAGCAGGCGATGATCGCGTTTTACCACAAGAAGCAGCAAGAGGCGGAGCGGCTCGCCGCCGAGGACGAGGACGCGTACCTCCACTCGTCGTGGGCGGACCCAAAGGCGCTCAAGTCGGCCTTCACGGGCATCGGCAACATCAGCTGGCGCGCGGGTGGACCACGCTAAACTGTGGCATGAGTCTCCTCAGACATTTTATCTTGGCTCGAGCGCGCGGGCGAGAGAGAGCCCAGAGAGAGTGTATGCAACCGCAGTAGTCAGTAGAGCGACCCGGGCGTGGGGAGCGTGGTCCGTGGAGCGTGGATGTTGCGCGCCGGCAGCGGCTATTATAGGCCGCGGGGCCCGCCGGCCCGGGGCGGTCGCAGTGCCGAGCGAGTGACGGGTAATCGTGGCCGTGGCCAAGAAAATCAAAATATTAAGCTCTCTATTTGGACCACGGTGAAAAACTCGACGGTTTTGGGCGTTTCAGAGCACGCTGAATCGAATGGCTTAGCTATAATTCTCGCCAGCCCTTTCCTTTCATAATTATTGACTCAAAACCCGATGATCGCGCGACTTTGGGGCCGTTATAGCTAAGCCAAAACGTTCCTCTCGAAAAATTGACTTAGGAAGCCGCAAACGGCAGCTTCTGAAAGACTCACCGGCGCTTATTCTCTTGATCTTTCAAAACCTAGGCCTGCGGCCAAAATTTTCTAAAGGCCGCTGCGCGGCCAGCGCAATGCGCAACCAGTCAGCGACCGACAGTCAGCAGCAGACTGTGACGATTGGCGGCCTCGCGCCCTCAGTCTACCTCCTCTACCAACTCCCCTGCCCAGCCCATATGCCTCATCCAAGGTGGCGCAACCACTCGCGCAGGGCGAGAGAGAAAGTCGGCGATCTGCGCCGTGCAGATGAGCTCCGCCTCGTCTGCGTCGAGGACGCCCATCGCAGGGCTGTCATAGCGCCATTGCATATGACGTACTGCATGTTGTTCATTACTTCGCAGGTGCCAAAGTCGAGGATAATCTCACTCAGCGATGGCGAAGGCTGCACTCCCGGCCGGCGGTAGGAGGGATGAAGGCTAATGTACTTCGCAGTGTACGGTGCCTTCCGGCGCGAACAGTGCCCGGGACGAAAGAGGAGGCGACGTCTCCCTCGTCCATGGACGGTGTAGCCAGCTTGAGACGGGAACGAGCGGCGGTGAATCGCCGACAGCGGTGCCTTCGTTCCTTTCCAGTGAATCGCGGCGGGTGCCCTGAGCGTTGTATCTGTCGGCCAGTTGCCGCACCGCCGGCAGCAGCTCCGCAGCAGCCGCCCAGATGGCGCCGGTTAGGACAGGAGCGAAGCCGCGTGGACACGGCTGAGCGACGCCGTGCGTCTCGTTTGGATGCTGCAGGCATGCCGGGCAGCGCGCGTGCTCCATACCGCGCGTCGGGCGCCCGCCGAGATCTTCGATTTCTTTGGCGTAGGGGACCAAAAACCCTGAAAATTTTCTTCGCCTGCGGCGGGCAATTAATTTCGATACTTTCGCTTTCACAGCTCTTTCACACGACTTTATCCGTCACTCGCTCTGCCACGAGTGGAGTGCAGCTGGAGCTGCAGGGGGGGCGCGAGGGAGAGGTCGTATGTTCCTTTTCGAGTTCAGATAGCGACTCCGAGACGTAAGATCGGGCACACGCCAAAGGACAATTTCCCGGGGGTGACGGCTGACGGTGACGCGCGCACCCGGCGACCCGCGCGCGGCGCGCGCTCCCCCTCTCTCGACTGCGGACTGGGCGCTGCCCCGCGCGGCGGGGGGCGCACACACGTAAAAGAACACAGTTTCTCACTGACGCACAATCGCATGCTAGTGGCCGGGCGGCGGCCGCCAGGCGCTGTGCGGCTGGGCGCCTGCCCACTTTTGCCCGGCGCCGCGCCACCGGCGCCCGTTGCGCGCTCTCCCCCGGAACGCCGGCAGCGGTCAGCAGCACCCCTTTTTGGCGGGCGGGGCT